TTTTTTTATTAGTAGTAGTAGTAACAGCACAATAGTAGTAGTAGCAGCAGCAAAAGTAGTAGTAGCAGCAGCAGTAGGAGTATTAGTAGCATATTTCTGATGTTTGGTAGTATCTGATGTTGTTCTTGAATAATAGTAGTTGCTATTGCAGCTGTTATATATAGTTTTGTAAAAGCACCAGCAGCAGCAATAGTAGTAGTATTGATGGCGGCTGTAGTAGTAACAGTAGTAATAGTAGTAGTAGTAGTAGCAGTAGTAGAGTAGTAGTAGTAGTAGTAGTAGTAGTAGTAGTAGTAGTAGTAGTAGTAGTAGTAGTAGTAGTAGTAGTAGTAGTAGTAGTAGTAATAGTAGTAGTAGTAGTAGTAGTAGTAGTAGCAAAAGTAGTAGTAGCAATAGTAGTAGTAACAGTAGTAATAGTAGTAGTAGAAGTAGTAGTAGTAGTAGTAGTAGTAGTAGTAGTAGTAGTAGTAGTAGTAGTAGTAGTAGTAGTAGTAGTAGTAGTAGTAGTAGTAGTAGTAGTTGTTGTTGTTCTTGTTGTTGTTGCTGTTCTTGTTGTGTTTGTTGTGGTGGTGGTAGTAGTAGTTGGGATGTTTTTGTGATTAATGTTGTTGATTTGTGATAGCGCCGTACATGTGGTAGTACTGTTGGATAAAGGTTCCCTCCGTGGTTGATGTAATTAACTTCATGCCGGCAGCCTTAGCTTCGCATGATACTTCCGGATTGACATTTAGCCTGGGTCGACTCGGAGCCCTATATTAATTTAAAAACCCAGCCTCATTGCTTATTCGAAACCGAAGACCTTCTGACGGCCTGGCAAATATTTAGACTCTCTCTGTATAGAAACTCTAATGCATCAGTCCCATTTACGATGGTTTGGACATGTAAGCAGAATGGGGGTGAATAATCGGTCGCCACGACAGGCATGGGAAGCTAGGAACCTAGGAACCAGACCACCAGGACGACCCCAGGATTGCCTGGGAAGACAACAGTCCTGACAGTATTTATAGCACTACTAAATGTTTTTCCTCAAGGTACACACAGCACAAACAAATGTGTCTTGTTGGATGAAATCAGTTCCTTATCAATGTAAATTTTTTGGTAACTGTTTAAAAATACAGCACACTTATTTCTGAGTATTGCATGCCACAACGCGTATAAGTATCACGAATGGTATATTATTTTAAAGGTAGGTGAAGCACATTAAAACAGACCATATAACTGCGAATGCTGTGCAACATACACATATCAAACACAAACATTCCCCATATAGATACCGGGTCTCGTTGTTCAAAACAGTGTCTGGAACAAGACTAAAGCCATGAAGTAGATGAACAACCAGAAGTTTCTGCCAGAGTTTACAACCAATGATTGCGAAGCAGAAGATGATTTACAGAAACGAACACAGACCATACAACTGCAAATATGGATAAGAAGTAGATGAACAACAAGATGTTTCTGCCAGAGTTTACAACCAGTGATTGCGAAGCAGAAGATGATTTACTAAAATGAACACAGACCATTCAACTATAAATATGCATAAGAAGTATATGAACAACAAGAAGTTTCTGCCAGAGTTTACAGAGAGTGATCGTGAAGCAGAAGATAATTCACAAAAATGAACACAGACCGTACAACTGCAAATGTGCATAAGAAGAAGATGAACAACCTGAAGTTTCTGCCAGAGTTTACAGCCAGTGATCACGAAGCAGAATACGATCCACAAAAATGAACACAGGCCACACAACTGCAAATATACATAAGAAGTAGGTGAACAACCAGAAGTTTCTGCCAGAGTTTACAGCCAGTGTTCACGAAGCAGAAGACAATTCACAAAAATGAACACAGATCGTACACGTACAAATGTGCAGGACACAGTGACACACACATCTCAACGCGACTGTCTCCCGTGAATTTAAATTAAAATTGCTGTAATCTAACAGCAAAGTTTTAAAATCTTGTATATCCACTTCACAATATCCGCTTGTCAATTTGTAATACGAATACATTTAGAAAACAGAACTTTGTAAGCACATTAAAATAAAAGCGGCTTCCACTAACCAGTTTTCGAGAGACTTCTTCCAAAAAGTCACGTGATTTAGTTGGAAAGACACATAAATAGAGATGGTCGTGCACTAACACTAGCCCCAACCAGCCCCGCCCCACACACCCTCCCCTATTGGATTTTTCCGGCCATTCCCTACGAAGTCTCGGAGCTTCTAAAATGAAGTTAAATTTTAAAAAAAAAGAACCCTGACTGTCGCGCGCAAACGTGGGTAAATACACTGATATAGTGAGGGTGTGGGTTTGAACCTTAACAATGCCCACCCACGTGAGAAACTGGACTATTATCTAAGCTATATTGATCCTAGACATTCCTGGATAGCCAAGAAAACAGCGAGTGGCTCGTTCCATGAAATGAAAGTTGCTGTACTTGTATCCACAGGAGTAGGAGAAGGGATAGATAGATATCTGGATACACCCACTGTGATATAATCCAGGTGCTCAGTTAACCCCTCCGACTGCTCTCCTCTCCTGGCATTACTTAAAAGCCCCCATCAAGTGATTTAAATATTTGTTAGCTGAAGTAAACTAATATGCACAAAGACACTTGAACCTAAGTACACAATTTACTCAACTATGTTGTAACAACATCAAACATGATTTATTTGAATAAATCGAAACTAAAATGACTTGTTTAGGCTAGTAGAGTTGGGATGATGTTATAGATGACATTAAAGTTGTACATAACTTAGCTTCTAGTTTCTAGTAGGAGAATTCACCGTCGGGACAGTTCTCGGCTTGAGACCCTGTATATTCTTTCCCAGTTTGTCGTCCTCACTGCTTTCATGCAGGTCGTTACACTCAGACGGTTGGCAAATAATGGATGCCTACTAGTCTCTGCCCAATGTGGGAACTGGAGAATGAAGAAACAAGCGCATTTTTGTAGTATCTGCTCTAGATGTACACTAAGCATGTATATTATAATAACATCAAGCATGTTTATATAAATAAAACATTTCATCTCTCCCTCGTGTTCACATTCACTCCTGTCCAATTTGGAAGGGCTTATGTCTCACATTCCAACTGTTACATATTCTGCCTTCCTCTACACGAGTCCTGTAATGATAGTCAAGTCTTCTTCGTCAGATGCCATCTCTCGTACCGACTCAAATGACAATCAGTCAGACAGAACCAGTTCTGGAATCTATGCTTGGAACAATCGACGCGCCCAGAAAGCTAACAATATTTCTGAGGCGAATCAAATAACAAATCTCGTGGATTTACTCTCCGGGATCAATCTCCGCATTAGCCTCCCGAGAGTTAAACACATTTCAGTGTGTTAGCTGTATGTAATACAGATTCACAGTAACCACACGTGACAAGATTGCCAAAGTTATCTTCACGCTTGTGATTTCAAAAACATGATAGTTCATTAAATTTCAATGGTAACATCAACATTTAAGTTTTACAACATTGAAACACATGTGCACGAAAGAACATTCATGACACTATCCAATAGGATATAAAGCAATGTGACAGTGCCCTACGAGAATGAAGAAATGTCCGCCTAGGAGTACTACAAAGTGATGAAGACACACACTTGAGTAAAAAGACAGTTAGATTTCTATCACAAAATATAGATTTGAACCTAATTTCGATCTTACCTGGAAAATGAAACCACGATGCCAAAAGTTCTGTCTCAAGCTTAGGTTAAGCCCAACAGATGGCATGTGCTGGACAGGATCTCATTTACCAGACCTAGAGTTCACCCCTTTATAACTTTTATCAAGCTCCTCCTACATTACGCCTAAAATCATTCTCATTCAAGGATGTCACAGCTCCTCCCTTGTGGGTAAGTTTATTCGCTGTCAGTCAGGGCTGTACAACACTTGTTTAAATTCCCACGCTCACATTCTACAGGTTCAATTAAGCTGGTCAAAGCTAATAGGCCAAGTCACACCTCCAGTCTACTTCACCTGTCATCACAATAAAATCCAACTTTGTCAATTCTTCTGCCAACATTTTCAGCTCACTGTGTCAATATTGACGATCTGACCGGCACTCCAGTTTAGGTAACCTCAGGGGGAGATAATGGCAATTAGCCCTTGTTATCTGTTCCTGAAGGTCTGGCTAGGAGATAAATATCTGACACCAACAAATGGTGTGCAAATCTCCAGTCAGTAAGTCTGCTTGGTCAGTCTTATCTCTGTACCTTAACACTTAACATCTGGGAAAAAGTTTTAGTGTTTGTTATGACCAACGGTCCAGGAGAATTAAAGGTTTGATGTGGTCGTCTTACTTAGATTAAGGATGTATCCAAATCCCTATTTTCCTGTATACTTTCAAAATACAAAGAAATAAAAGTAGGTTGAGGAAAGACATTCTGGAGTCACCGAGCGTATTGTCACACTGACAATTAATCGAGTTAACGTTTTTCATGCATTCTCTCTGAGTGTGTGTGTGGTTGTGTGTGTGTGTTTATGTAAATTCCTCGTTTGGGTTCCGGGGCCCCATGGGGGGGGGGGGGGCTAAAATAAATCCCCTGCTTCCCTAACAAGCATGCCGTAGGCGCCGAATAATTGAGGGCTTCTTTATAAATCGGAATGCATCTGCCATAGCGGCTAGGAACAACCAGCTGCAAATAAATCAGCTAGTAAAGCGGATGTACACGCAAACTCAGGCACAAAGCCAAAGTCTGAAACACCACGGCTTTCCACCGGAGCTTTCCACCGCTGAACAAAGAAGAAGCAGAAGTGTAAGTACATGGAAGGTAAAGTGAAGGGTTTGTTTTCTTTACTGCAAGTTAGGAAAATTAATCGACTTTTATTTCATGCTTTTAGGGGACAATGAATACCAGCCTCTCGCATCAGTTTGTCTTTATGTCTTCTTTCCATTCTTCTTCTTCTTCTTGTTCTTGTTCTTCTTCTTCTTCCTCTTCTTCTTCTTCTTCTTATCCTTCTGCTTCTTGTTTTAAGACATTGTTAGTGCTTCTATTTCAGGAACGCAATATACTGAAACCGTGAATATAGGCAGGTGTTGGGACATCCTCCTCGGCGCAACCACAAAAGATGCTCCATGTTCGTCAATAGATGACTTTATTAAATGTTTGATACAAGAGCTACAACTGTTTAAAACGAGACCTTCGCAAATGGAAATAACTAACGTTGAGAACATTGTAAAGAGAAACTTGGCTAACTCGGGACTGCACTGTCGAGTGAACGTCAGGTCTATCATTTTAAGAATTCAACACGAAGAGGAGAGAGGAGTCACATTTGCAACAAGAAGGCCAACGGGTGAGAGTTGTAATGTTCTTGGTAGTCCTGTGTCTTCGTTATTTATTTTTATCATTAGAAGATATTAGAAGATACCATTTTAGAAGGCTACACGGTCTCAGCGTATGTATACCAAATTTCGTCCTTTTTAGGACGAAATTTTTTGTCATTTGAAGCCCCACTCTGGCTTTTGCCAGGGGCCGCAATATAGGCAGGCCATATATATGGCCAAATGTCTGAACGCGGTTTCTGGGACCTCTCCACGGCGATCCTCATCCACATGGTGGCACTTTGTGTCATCGGGTGTTTATCGCTTGTGTGATGTCCTGGTGGGGCAGAAATTCAGTTCAGTTCTCGGCGTATACTTTACTTCTTTTTCAGGACGTAATTTGTTGTTATTTGAAGCCCCACTCTGGCTTTTGCCAGGGGCCGCAATATAGGCAGGCCATCAATGTGGCCAATTGTCTGAACGAGGTTTCTGGGACCTCTCCACGGCGACCCTCACCCACATGGTGGCACTTTGTGTCATCGGGTGTTTGTCGCTTGTGTGATGTCCTGGTGGGGTAGAAAGTCGGTCAGTCGGCGCAATGTTACATATTCTTTACGATCCCTTAGACGGATGCAGTGTTTCGTTGACATTATCCCTGTCTATCCTTCTGGGTTACTACCTGTGTGCCATGATGTTGATCCGTTTTTTTTAACTTCAAACAGAAGATATCCATGAGGTTGATATTATCACTTACTATCCTTCTGGGTTACTACCCGTGTGCCATGAAGTTGATCCGTTGTTAAAAATTTCAAACAGAAGATAACCATTATATTGACATTATCCCTGTCTATCCTTCTGGGTTACTACCCGTGTGCCATGATGCTGATCCGTTGTTAAAAATTTCAAACAGAAGATAACCATTAGATTGACATTATCCCTGCCTTTCCCTTTAAAGCCATATCCTGACAGGCCTAGAAAGCCATAATTTAAGCTAACGGTTGAACGGGATTACAGAAACAGTTTGGAAAACCAACACTGGTTATAACTACGGAAAAGATTTTCTGAAACACTTGAACAGAACAGACCAAGTCACAGTTTTTCGCTTACGTACTGGACACTGCAGACTCAATAAACACTCACATAAATTAGGTATGAGCCAAACAGCTCTCTGCCAGTGCCTTCGTGCTGAACAGACTCCGGAACATGTCCTGCAAGACTGTCCTCTCATGGCGGAGCTGCGGAGCGACATATGGCAACACCCAGTAGAACTGACAACTAAGCTTTGGGGAAACCTAAGAGACCTTGAAAAGACATCCCAGTTTATGGCCCACAGTGGATTATGCGCATGACCAGAGATCGCTGAAGAAAAAGAACGGGATTAATCATCCGAATAGTGTCACAGAACCTACCAACAAATACCTTTCTTAAATGTTTGTGTATTCTAGACAAAGCAATAAGGTCTTACTGTGTTCGTAAATTGTTGATGTGATTGTTATTCGACATTTGCTTCGTTAATATAAATTTCTGTAACCTATGGTGCCATTTCAATGGGTTGAAATGAATTCTGTCCGTATTCCATAGTCGTGGATTTCAAGCTGTACGATAGACATGGCCAATGAGACACCTTTTATTGGGGGTGCCTAGTTGACCATGTATCTTAGTGCACTTGTATTCATGGCGAGGCGCAGACGCCGTCTGGAGGTGACAGGTTCAATTCCCGGCAGGGTAACTATAGCTTTCGATTTTTATGTTGTCTAGTGTGTTCTTCTATCTTTCTACTTCTTTCTATGAGTGCCGTTCACAATACTTTCTGTTACTTGATTAATCCTTGTGGGGTTGAGCCTCAGGCTCAACCCCCGACGCTTTGGTTACATCGTTTCCTTCCAGCGCCCTAATAAAACCTTACGTCTGAAACGAGTTTACGCGATTGGTATTAGCAGGATTCTCATCCTTGAGCTGCAATCCTGGAGGTGACAAACTGCAATCAGACTATCGTCGTTGTGTTATACTATCGAATCTCATCGTTACGAATGGGCAGACAGGAGATAAGTTCTGCACCAGTTAGAAATGAGTTAATTCAGCATGAACTGAATGTTGTCAAAGCCGTTTGGGAAGGGGGTGAACAATGTGGAGGCACAAATAGATCAACGCCGTTTGAAAAGAATAGTGCAGTGTGTAGTGGCCAGATTTCGCCGACACTCAACACCCACGAGATAGACAGGACGCCCATACAATCAGACTGGTGTGCTACCATCAAAAACTGAAACTCTGTGCTGATTTCTGAAGATACCAGTGCACCGCCTATCAAAATTCTCCCCATATAATGTGACTTTGGTTTTTAACTGACCTCAGTGCAATTCTTACCGTTATTCTTCTTCTTAAACATCAAGATTTCAAGCAGAATTCGATATAAAGAAACTGAGAATAAAAACTAAATAAAATTAATAATACATATAGTTTGACAAAATCTGAAGTTAGTTGGTCTTTACAGGTTCTCCTTGCAATAACGGTCGCTACTTGGACGGCGACGGCCGCTTAGTCGGGAGTTCAGTCCCCTGGCTGCAGTGCAATTACAGAGTGGACAAGGCACGAATTACAAAACACAGTGAGTTCAACATGGCGTCTAGACCACGCGCTGTGACTCACATTAGCCTAACCCTAACCCTAACCCAAACCCTAACCCTACTCCTAGCCCTAATTATGTCATTTGTGTCGTTCCCTCTTTTCCACTCCGTAATTGCACTGCAGCCAGGGGACTGAACTCCGACTAGGCGGCCGTCGCCGTCCAACTAGCGACTGTTATTGCAAGGAGAGCCATATATTCTTGTCGTTTCGACCTTCTTTTTTTTTTTCTCCTCCGCCTCCTTCGTTTTGGTGCTATGTTGCTCTTCTTTTTTCTTCTTCTTCTTCTTCTGTTTCTTTTTCTTCTTCTTTTTTTTCTTCTTCTTCTTCTTCTTCTTCTTCCTCTTCTTTCTCTCCTCCCTCTCTAAATTCCTCTTTCTCCTGATTCTCTTTCTATTCCTTCTTTCTCTTCTTAGTCATCTTCTTCTTAATCTCCTTCTTCATCCTCCTGGTTCTTCTCCTACTCTACCTTCTCTCCCCCCCCCCCCCTACCTTTTTTCTTCACATACTGCCGCTACTCATAGCCTGTAGTGGGGAAGCAATATAACGACAGCACATATGTCACTAAAACAAAAACAATTGTATTTAGAACTACTGTACATATTAAAACATAATAAAACTCCAGGTTTCAATGACACTGTACCACTCACCTCATCTTTCAGGTTTTTCCGACGCCACGACCACAGGAGACTGCTTGAACGCTCTCACCATCTTAAACACAGCAGCTGAGGGCGTTGATTGTAGACTTGTAGCCCCGTTTTTTAAATGCATCATAAAAGTCACCGAATACTATAAATTTATTCGTACACCGGTTGAAGATTCGTCGCTGCTAAAAAAGGTTCAGAATCACTTAGGTCACCTACTGGTCTACTGTACTGTAGACATTCCTGCACTGACTAAGGAAGTTTCCGGAGAGTTAACTACCCCTGCAGAGTCAGTCACAAGTACCACAGCGGCCGATATATTTACCACCAAAACAAATACAACATCTGCAAAGACGAAAACTGTGTCTACCCCAGCAACAGTCATGCATCAGGACAAATCTATAATACCTTTCTCAAGTAAGTGTTGTCCTTGTATGTTGTGGATAATAACTTCTTTAGGTGTTTATATGTCTCAGTTACCATTAAAAGTTCATTTCTTCACAGAATAGAAGGAAGAATGAGGCCAAACATTTGTCATGGCAAAGAAAAGGTGTCATGATACTTACTGGCACATATATCAGTCTATCCGGACATCCACACGCACGCGCACACATACATGCACAAAAACGAACAGAGCTAGTCACGCGTAAACATACATACATATTTATTTGAGAGAGAGAGACAGAGAGAGAGATAGGGGGGTGAGGGTTGATATTACGTGCGAGAGAGAAGACAGAAAGAGAGACTTACAGACAGAAAAAAGGAAGAAGAAGAAGAAGAAGAAGAAGAAGAAGAAGAAGAAGAAGAAGAAGAAGAAGAAGAAGAAGAAGAAGAAGAAGAGAAGAAGAAGAAAAAAAGAAGAAGAAGAAGAGAAGAAGAAGAAGAAGAAGAAGAAGAAAAGAAGAAGAAGAAGAAGAAGAAGAAGAAGAAGAAGAAGAAGAAGAAGAAGAAGAAGAAGAAGAAGAAGAAGAAGAAGAAGAAGAAGAAGAAGAAGAAGAAGAAGAAGAAGAAGAAGAAGAAGAAGAAGAAGAAGAAGAAGAAGAAGAAGAAAGAAGAAGAAAAGAAGAAGAAGAAGAAGAAGAAGAAGAAGAAGAAGAAGAAGAAGAAGAAGAAGAAGAAGAAGAAGAAGAAGAAGAAGAAGAAGAAGAAGAAGAAGAAGAAGAAGAAGAAGAAAAAGAAAAAGAAGAAGAACAAGAACAAGAAAACAAGAAGAAAAAGAACAAGAAAAAGAACAAGAAGAAGAACAATCCAGAAAAGGAAAAAGTAGACGCAGCAAAGAATAAATTACACAATAAACCATTCACATTGCCGTATATCATAAACTTCTTTCTAACGCCGTGTTTCAGATACATCCAGTCTCCAAGCCCAAACACTATCAACCTGCCTGAACACCCTGTCCCATCTGTACAGCTCTGGCGCAAACCACTGCTTTTCTGTCAATGAGTTCGTCAAATGTTTGCTGGACGAGTTCAACTTGTTTAAATGCAACTCGTCCGCTCGTGGGATGGATGATTTCGCCATTCTTGTGATGAATCATGTAAAACTGACTGCTGTACAGTGCAATGATAATATCACAACAATTGTTCGGAGATTTCAAGAAGATGATTGCAAAAAAAGCACTCAAACAACTAGTCCGCCAACGGGTAAGTGGGTAATTTATGGCTCTAATATGTGTATTCTTTCTTATCCCTTGACGTTTGACCCCTACGGTGTCACAGCCTGAAGGATTGCCACCTAGTGACTGACTCAAAGGAGTCACTGTTCGGGCGCGAATCTAACAAGCAAATCCCAGAAACACAACGTTTTGGGCGCATTATACAGTTACTGTGAAACCTAACCAACTGGAAATATTGATCCCGCTGTTAAGGCCACGCACGACCCTTTTCTTTTCTTTTTTTTTTAAATCGTTTCTTTGAAAATGTCGGCCTCTGTGGCTTTGGCGTTGCAAACGCGCTTCGTAGTGCTGGCGTACCGGGTTCCATCCCGGCTGCAGGCAATATGGAAGCAAAGCGTCTTGCGTTGATTTCGACAGTGGTACCGAGAGCTGACTGTTCAGTAAGCAATGGCAAACTACTGAACGTAACACCTGCCTAGAAAAACCACCACAGCTAAAAAATATTGCTGTGGTTGGTTCTGCAGCGTTCTGTAAAGGATATGCAGTCCCCCCCCCCCCCCCCCGCTTGTTTTTTTTTACAAATAAAATAACTTGAAAACAAAAACAAAAAACCTTTGTTATATGATTTTTTTTCAGAATAATCGTAATAAAAGTTATACACACACACACACACACACACAAAACAGTTAAAATTGTCGGCGTAAGGGATGGTTTCGTTCCTCCTTTGAAATACGCGTGGGACTCGTTGAATTCCTGTATCCTTAATGTTACTTCTGTATGTGGGTGTATGTATTCATGTGAGTGTAAATGTGTGGTTGTGGGCATATGTTGGTGTATGTACATATAATTGTATATGTGGGTATGTATGGATGTATGTATAAGTGTGTGTGTATGTATGGAGTGTGTGTGTGCATGTATATTCATAAATGTATGTGTTTGTGTTTTCTGTTTGTGCATTATGTCTATGTGTGTGTTTTATGTTTGTTTATGTATGCAGATGCATGTGTGTATGTATTACGTATGTCTGTATATGAGTGTGCATGTATGAGAACGTAGGAGTATGTATACGTGTGTGTGAGTGTGTACGATTGTGTACACATGATGTGTGTATGCATTATTCTATAATTTATATTTCTTTATTATATCTATACCATGCATTATTGATTACAGGCATTGGTATTCTGAAAAATAAGTGCTTAGAAGGGCCGAATGTCAGATGGGCCTGCGTGACCAATTTGTAACCCTTATGAAAATAAAGTTTGTTCGTTCATTCTTCTGTTTCGAAGCAGACTCAAATCTCCTAATTGTTCTTCCATGACACAGAACACCAGAACAGTGGGCGGTCAACACTGACAGGCTGTTGGCAAGCGTACTACCCCATAGATTTCCGGAGTGTTGTCTCCCCTTGTACAGAGCTATCCAGGTACATGAAGTGTTTAATTCGAGTATCGGAGGCCTACAGGTATGGCAGATATTGTGTCAGACTCCAGGAGATTGCCGACAAGGAGATTCTCCTGTACGGTTGGTCATGCACTATCGATGTCAACAGTCTTTGCCAAGAGGTATCTGGAGAACAGCCAGGGAACTGCAGTGCAGCCATTACCATAATTATATCTTTACTTCTGTCATCGTTAGTGATTCCACACATCTCAATATTGAATTTATAGTTCATACTGCATTAATGAAAAACATGTACAGATATTTTTCAAGTCACTCATATATCGTCTTTGAGGACATCGCGAATGTTGAAGGGAAAGAGGCAGAGAGAGACCGAGAAAACAGATGTTGGACAAGGCTATTCATTGCCAGCCCGCAGAGGCCTATCATGTAGCCTGCGGATCATTACCAGTTGTACTTTATTCGAGATGTTTCTAAACTGGAACTCGGCTCTCTGACGATCCCCATGTTCAATATTTCGGTCCCAGAGTAAACTAATTTGAAAAGCTCTGGTCTGGTATCATTGTATGGAAGATGTGGCAGAACCCACTGAAAGTACACGAGACAGAAGGTTGCTGATGGACAATACTACCAACGTAATATGGCATTCACTATAAGAAAAAGACGGACGTCGCAAAAACAACTCTAACATTTATTGAACGTTTTTGTTTGTACTATGCAATTATATTTCTTTTGGTTTGCCACTGCTTTCATAACGACAGACGCTGAATACTTCTTCGCGTTCAACGGCTGTTATGTGTATTGCAGTATTAATTTGTATGTGCTGATGAAGGCTCAATAGCCGCAACGTTCACGTTTTGTTTGTATTTGTTATATCGTGAAGCTTGCTAATATATTTTTTTTTCGGTTTTATATCTTTCCTTTATTCATGTGGAACGCTCTGGTTGTGTCGTCCACTTTCAGACTCCATATTTTGGATTTTGCGTGCACATCCGTGTTGGATCTGGCGTATTTGTATGTAGACCGCTGACCTCTCTTCTCTCATGCAGTTGCACTCCGACTTCAAAAGGAATCGTCTCTAACTAGTCGTTACTACATTCTTGTTGAAGGCAGTGGGAACATCCCCCCCCCCCCCCCCCCCCCACTTTTTTTTGGGATTGAAACGAAACCGGTATGTTGAAATTTTAAAACTTTTTCCATAACGATCAAACCACAGACGTACCCAGATTAGTTAACGCTATTTTAGTTACTCTGAAGGGTTAGTTGCGTATCTTTTACAGGACGTTGCAGAACCAACCCCAGCAGCCCCTGGCTGTTCTGTGGTTTCTCCAGGCAAATTTACGTTCAATAGTTTGCCATTGCCTCTAGACGGTCGGCCCCCTGATAACGACTGTCGAAACCAACGCAAGGCGCATGGCCCGTAGCTGGGATCAAACGCGGCGTTACGAAGCGTTCGCATCGACTTAGCCACAGAGCGAAGTTTGAAACATCTTCAAAAACTGTAAGTTGCCTTGACACAGAAACTGACCATCTAAGGTTACCATAGGTTCGCCATTTTGCAGACGCTCTGATATACTCCCTCTTGTCATTCACAATCTTTTCCGTCTCAGAATTAATAATTTTCAACATAGATAAGTTAAAAGAAAACAAATCTTGCAGTTTTTGAAATCACGGATAGAGCCGGGCCGGCAGAGACATGGCAAATTTCCAGCGGATCATCGCCAGTTGTATTACTAAAATTTCTCTACTGGAGCCAGCGACTCTAGCTGGGAGCGATCCCCATTCTGACAATTTTTGTCGAGTAAACCAAGTTGTCTAGCCCCACCAGAGTATGTCATTTAATAAAGGAGTTGAAGCCAAAATAATTAATCCCTGTTGTAAATTTCAACAATAACACAACAGAAGGCACAATGGTACTAATCACTAAATTCACTCTTCTCGCTTGGGCGCGAGATTTCGTGTGTTTCCAATGTATGTTCTATGTTTTAGGGGTGTTATATGAGATGCCTTCCTGTCCCGTCTATACACAGCGTGGCGAAAACTGGCTCCCGTTCGTCCGACATACTGACTCTCAGACGAAACGGTGCAACTGTTTTGTGTGAACGAATGTCGTGTTGCTCTAGTGCTTGTGTTCAAGAAAGCGTTACTACATGGAAATGCGAGAAGGTTCTTGGTTATCGAATCATTAAAGTTTTTGATTTCTACACTCCTTGGCTGTGTATTCACTGCATCCAACTGTTAGTATGGTGAAGTACTTGACGAGGCAGTGAAAATAAACATATTTCAGGCTTCTTTGTTCTAGTGGTTTTTTTTTAAATAATTTTTTAGTTTTTTTTTTAACTATTACGTAGCAATCCAGTGGCTTCTATGATATTTGCATTTGTGTGTTTATGCATAAATGAATGCATGCATAATAAAAACAACTGCTGTGTCAAAGATAAATGGCTGAATATTATGAATATATGTGATCCTTAACATGTTTTTTTTTTTTTTTCAATAAATATAAAAATGGGCTAGTCCGTGTCATCGGAGCCCTCAAATGAAGCAAATAACAGCAACACTACACCCCACCAGGGATGTTGAAAGAGGAGACTATGGGGCTTTAGTCTGGCTACCTCATCCTGTTGGGGAAAAAAATCCATAAAACCAACCAACCATGGAGAAGGAAACAGAGAAAGAAGAAAAATCCAGCTAACCAGGGTGAGGGGAGGCTTTTTCGAGTAGAAGTATGACACGGTGAGCAAGACCAAAACAGACGGAGGAGGGAGCCAGAGAATGAAGTTAAAAAGATTGGGGGAGAAAGAGCTGCATGCGATATCAAAGGATAAACGACTTGGCATCAGTTGGTTGCGGGCCTATGCTTCAGCGGGTTAGAAAGTCAGAAGAAAGAATATTGCACTTATTACTGCGAAATGTGCTTTGTGCAATAATGTTATAAAATATTTATTCAGCATCATCCACACCTTGAGTCAGGTCACACAGATATATAGTATACCCAGTTGTATCCCCTGCAATTATTTCAACATCATTAGTGAACTGTCCTACCCATTCATATTCGTCTTCTAGCTTTCCTTAAATGTCTTTTTCCTGGATTTCATTTGTTTCCCACTTGAGTACATGTCTGGTGATTTTCTGTCCATTTTACTCTTCAGGATCAGCGGATATATCACAACCTACAGTCTTATATCGGCAATAAATGACCTAATTTTTCTTGTGTCTCTGGCAGGTAACTTACTGGCATGCTAAAACTTTAATGACATTTTTTTAATGTTAATTTCTAAACAATTCCTTTTTTTGTTCTGTCTTACAAAACCTGCTGTTGTCTTACTAATACTTATGTCTTGGTTTCCCAGCCAATCAGAATTTCTACTGTACAGGTAACTGATCTGTCACTAATTGATTTAAATAACTAAGCACTGTATGAAGTATTGATACTCGGACTATAATTTTTTTTTACAGCAACAGATTGGTCAAAGTATGCACGCCTAAAGCTTAAAGATATCACTCTCTCTGTCTCAACACTCACTCTCTCTCACTCACTCTCTCTCTCTCTCTCTCACACACACACTCACTCTCTCACACACACTCACTCTCTCTCACACACTCACTCAATCTCTCTCACACACACAAACTCTCACTCACTCTCTCTCTCACTCACACAGAGAGAGAGCGAGAGAGACAGAAAATCAAAAGACAGCAATGATAAAACAACAAAGGCATGTAATGTTCCGCCAGTGAGCCAGGGATGTGGTACACTCCTTTAATCTTCCTGCACGTGCGGACAGACTTTGTCACAATTATCTCTACTACAACTCAGTACAGAAACATTATCAAAGAGGGCAGACAAATTAAAACGTAAAGAAAACACTGACACTATTGCTTTAAAAAAAAAAAGAAAATTAAAAAGAAAAAAAAACGTGACCATCAATGATTACATCTAAATCTACCCAACTGTTTAAGATTACAATAAGAAGTTTTTCTCTCAAGCAAATTCAGTCTAACAATACTGCTATATATACCCTAGCTATGAAGGAAAGCAGGCAGCAAGCGACTGTCTCAATCACCAATATGGCTCAGCACTGTGTGCCAGAAAAATAAAATAATAAATTTAAAACAATTTCATTGGTGTCTATTCAATTAAAATTGGTACATTTAAAAACACAAATCACCAGTGTACATCAAGTACCTGGCAAAAGCCAGTAAAATTTGCAGGAAGGAAAAAAAAAACTTTCTGATAAGATTTAAATGACAGTCGTTCACTTGCCTATTTCCTTCACATCCTAACGAGGTTGGCAGACCGGTAGTAAAGACTGGAGGTGGAGGGGAGGCAACTGCTCCAAAAGCTAAACTAGATCCTCTCAAACAACCAACACGTTCAGCTGGACTGACTGACGGCAGCAGAGCTGGCCACCCAGCCACAACCAACAAGTTTTGACTTTCATGAGGCTCAGGCTGGTTCAAACTGTTGCACTGGTTAAGTGCAGTCAATGATTTACTTGTTTTGTGTTTTTCAATGAACAGCTCATTCATACAACTGGAGCCTTTTATGCAACGATGTGCATGCAACCAGTTAACTACTGCCTATCCAACACTTGTATCAAGGAACAGCTGAACCAGTTACGTGAAGACTACGATTCACTCGTATTGTCCAGGAAACAGCTGAACCTGTTGACTGCATACAGCCTCTACAAATCACTCAATATTTCCCAGGAACAGCTGAACCAGTTCACTGAAGCCTGTAAAATAATCACTCATGTTTTCCAGGAACAGTTGAATCAATCTGACAAATTAAGCCGGTCCTAGAGAGGGGTAGCCCAAACAAGAAGCAGGAATGCAACAATACACACACAATTCTGTTAAAAATCTACCGGGGGGATGGAGGATACCCAGTGATATATGAGAAACCCACACTTGCAGTTAAAAACAGTTCCAAGAATGTAGCTGAAACGGGACAATGATGAGAAACATACCATGAATGAGTAACATGTGACAATGGAATGTCTATGCAAGTTACCAATGGAACAAATTTCAAATACCTTCAAACAAGGTAAAGATAAAGGGGCAAGGTCAACCAGGTGTAATGTAGTGGTCAACCAGGTGTAATGTAGTGGTCAACCAGGTGTATTGTAGTAACATTCCTGCTTCTTGTAGTCTATACAAGATGGCCTAGAAACAGTTAGAGCTTATCTTTTAACTGGACCTGTTCTGAAAAACTGTCTAGATCTGATTTCCTTTTAACAAAAAAATACCTAGACATGATCTGAATGAACAGCGGATCTTGTCTTGTGACCTAGGAGCTCCTGCCTGGCGCTGGCACTTGACGGAGATATCCCCTGGATTTGGGACCTCAGCATCCATCAACACGCTCATCTCCAATGGTCCGTGCCCCACACGGACAGGAAGCTGCCCAGGTCACCCTGCTGTGTCCACATTTTTCGCCTTGACAGGACCTTCTCCCACAGTGGCTTGTCTAGCTTTGAACTTGCTTGCTGCCTTTGGATTTGAAGGGGGTACTCAAGTCCCCCAGAGTTCTAGTCATTTGCACAAACAGCCACGCCACATACATTCTCTGGGTGTAATTATGTGTCGAACACTTGTAGCTCACATCCACACACGTCCAGACTAGAAACCAGACCTCACACTTGCTTTCCCGTCTGCCTTCCTTTCTCACATAAATGCCATTGAACCTGCCTGAAACGGACCAAACAAAAACAAATCAGTAATTTCCCCAAATAACCAAATAATTTTCTTATTTTAAAAAATAATGGGCAAACATATTTTAGTTTCACTGCTACGTTTGCAGTGAAAGCCAAACGCTTCAAACCACATTAAAATTGTTTATCTATAAAGTTATGGCTGATATTTTTGCTCAGTCCAAGGAAGGTACCCTCACCGACCATCAGGAATTCCACAGAATTTCATCACTGCAAAAACCACAACAAATGTAGAATACAAAGACAACGAATATTTCTAATATATCTAGGACAAACTAGTTACAAATCCACTAGCAGATTATGCCAGCCCACGTAACATTTTACAGCTCACTAGAGCAGACTATGGCACAGATGTAACATTTTACATCTTACCAGAGCAGACTATGGCACAGATGTAACATTTTACATCTTACCAGAGCAGACTATGGCACAAATGTAACATTTTACATCATACCAGAGCAGACTATGGCACAAATGTAACATTTTACATCTTACCAGAGCAGACTATGGCACAGATGTAACATTTTACAGCTAAAATGGGTGCCATAGTCTGCTCTGCTAACATTTTACAGCTTACAAGAGCAGACCACCGCACCCAGGTAACATTTTACAGCTTACCAGAGCAGACTATGGCACTCATGTAACATTTTACAGCTTACCAGAGCAGACTATGGCACTCATGTAACATTTTACAGCTAACAAGAGCAGACTATGGCACCTATGTAACATTTTACAGCTTACCAGAACAGACTACAGCACCCTACATAACAAGTTAAAGCTTCCAAGACACATACCTGAGAAAAATTTGAGATGAGCACAGCTCATCATCGCCTGTTGAATCCACCTGGGCCTCCGTAGTTGCTGTTACCTCCGTAGCTGTTACCCCCAAATCCTGCAAATAAAACGGTTGGTCCAATTTGACACAGTGAAACTCACATGATCAAGTGAAAAGGACAACAATAAAAACGTCAGATTTACGGAGCTAATGTAAAGGTCACACACAGCCCTACTCAAAAATAGATACGTACACTCTGTGTGTTATGTTGTTGACTTAACTCAATAATAAGCCAGACAGACATAATCCCCAGTTACAGGATGTGCACAATCATGACCTGGTTACATACAAATGCAGCATATCAGCGCATGTAAAGTTCTTCTACAGGACTTGCACATATCAATAGTTACTAGGCTCGTAGAAGGAAAAACGAGCTCTGCAACATAATTCCTGTGAAGACTACTATAAATCAGATTAAGGACAGCCTGGTAGTTTTAATCGCTTCTGGGGGCCAGACTTTATAACAGATTCACTTTTTTCTGTGTTGACTGACTGACTGTAAACTGTTCAGAAAGTTCTGGTTGATAATCAATTTCTAGACTCAGTTCCATAACTGTTCTGTGCACATCTGTTAGAAAAACAGGCTTATATGTGTGTGCAGACTGTTAGTTCCTTGCCTCTTAGGCAGATAGACTACGATTTCGAAGAACACACCCCTAATTATCCACCTCCAACTACAAGCTTGTTAGGTAGCAGTATGTCACATTTGAACCCACAAAACAAAATTTATGAATAGGAAAACAGAAGAGAATTAGAGACATGTGATTAATAGGTGGACGTGAGGTAATGGCAGTTCCAGCTTCATGGCAAACAGGTCATGCCACAGTTGCTCCGATCATGTGCGAATGAAAACCGAACAAGAATGTTCATCACTGCCCCTTTGTTGAAAACCAAACAAAAATAATATTTGGCGGCCCTAAACATGAGATCGTAAACAATGTGAACAATCAAACAAGGACTTACGTGGATTTCCTTGATTGGCTGGTGGACCGTAACTGCCGTAATCACTGTACCCTCCCTGCCATCCGCCTGGACCGCCATAACCACCACCAAAGCTTGGCCCATATCCACCACCATAGCCTCCTATAAAGACATCACATCATGTTAACAACAATTAATAAAAGTAAAGACACAAAGCAAGTCGCTTCAGGCTACGACTGAATAATTCACTACTTAATGCTTTAAATGATTTTTCTCCTACTCCTTTGCCAATCTCTGATCCTGCGCTTAATCCAGTGTCAGCCATAAATTGAGATGGCATCTCAAAGTCTATCAGGTTTTCCCAAAGCTTCGCAACTCCACCAGAAATGGTTAGTCTTGCAGGATATGTTTTAGAGACTGTTCAGCACAGTCAATAACAAAGAGCTGTTTGGATTACACATAATTTATACTGAGATTTTAACTCTGCAGTTCTTAAAAAACTCATTCACCATGTAGTATCTCTTCTACAAAACATTTCCTTACTGCAGGCTGCCAGAAAATCTTCAACTCCGCCACTGTCCCAGATGTATTTTCATGCCCAGTGTCTTCTACAGTTCATTGTTTGTTATCAAGTTGCACACACTATGCCTCTGTAAGGTACTAGCCTTCCATTGCGGTCCTTTCCAACATGTTTAACATGCTCAAGTATAGTTTCCATGACACAATGTGCCCGACAATCCTGTGTGTGTGTGTGTGTCTCCTCCCCCCCACCCCTTTTTTTCACTAGCTAACTGGTTTTACTCCTCTTTTGCATAGGTCCTTTCTTACTGGATCCACAAAAGTGGCACAACCTTACATGTGCTGCTTCATCACAGAATGTCTATCTCCCATCAGCATTCGTCTAGACTAATAAATATGATTATGTCAAGGGAAACAAATGAACAGACAACTGCTGGTTATTGCACGGTGTGGAGAAAACTCCTTTAGCCTCACTTTAATGGGTGAAACAGGGCTCAGGCACATGAATACCAAAGCCCCAGACTTAGCAGCAACAATCATGTGCTAGATCAGGGTTATTCACTTGGTGGCACACACACACGCATAGCAAGTGGATCATAGATTATTGCCCTTTGTATTGTATTATTGATCATCCTTCTAAGCTAGGGTTCAGGCTTCTGGCCTACAAAGGTCACATTTTTTTTAAAATAAATGTTGGCCGGTGGGTAAACTTTGCTGAACAGCCGTATTGTACAGATTCAGAAGCAAACAAGCCAGCATGCATGTGAATGTGTCAGTACATGTATGTATGCATGTTTGTATTATACACTTGAATCTATTTATTATGTTGTTCAAAAATAAAGACCAACATTCACTTTAAAAATTTTTTTTTAAAACTTACCACCAAACCCTGATCCTCCAAAGCCAAAATCTCCTCGACCTGAACAGAAGAACAAACCGTAAGTTACAGACACTCAGTCTCACGGTGAAACTGAAATATGACATTACATAAATCCAGAGAACACTGGATAATTGTTACGTCAAACAGTATGGACTACAACTATTTTATGTTCACCTGCTGCAAACTCTGGAGAATGTTCTGGTTGTTAGTCTGTTTTGTTCTGGAGTTTTGTGTGCACATCAGTTTTACACGTCTAGCTTATTTGTAAGCAAACTTGATTTCTTGCCTCTCAGGCAGATGCACTCAACTTCGAAGGAGCAGCTAAATAGTATAGACATCATGCAGCACACCTTGTATACGAGCTGTGTTAATTTCCCTCTCCATCAGTTCTTAAGTCTTTACTCCCATCTTTCAAAACATTTTGATTAACTTTGTCCAAAATATGTTGAACATTTTAATAAAAGCATTTCTATGGACCCCAAGAGATTTCATTTAGCTTGTTTACTAACTTGCCCAAGAGTCGCAGAGTTACTATTTTTTATCAAATATTTATGTACATAAATTCGTACACTTCCCCAAATTATCTACTCTGTTCGTCCAAAAATGTAATTGTGTTATGCCCACCTACAACACGGCTGCAAAAATTCCACCCCTCATCCGACTTCTGCAGACATTTGTTGACAGGGTCAGCCTTTATGGGACACTGCATCTCATTGTTGCGTGGTCATCTTTGTTTTCCAGGTCATAGACGAGTCATGTAATGCTGGTCAGTCAGCCCTCAAAAATGGTAGAGGCAGCACATGAGCATTCCACACCATCCAAGGAGGCCTCCATAAATGCAGGGCCAATACATGGTGCTCTGGTACAAGCCAAGGAATCGTTACTTGTCCCAAACATTTACCACTGACATTTGATCTTTGTAGAAAGTGCTTTATTTTGATATTAAGTTACCCAGACTTACTGCCACACACAACAACAGGCATGACCTGATGTTATCACTCTAGGGTAAAGAATAGGGGGAACTATTAACTGTATATTGTGTGGCTCACCATAAAAGCAATTTAACGCTGAAAAGGGCATTCTGACTAGCTAAACTTCTGAGCATTCACCGGCTGTAAACTCCAGTTTTTTTTTACTTCTGGGTTCTAGTTTTGTTTCAGAACTTGAATTCTGCGAGTACATCCATTTTTCAGACCTGGCTTACTTGCATGCAGACTGTTGATTACTTGCGTCTCAGGCAGGTGCACTTTGACTCTAATCAGTCACTTATTTAATACGTTTGTTAGGGGGCAGTAGATCTTCTCCCCCACCCCTTTCCCAAAACTGTGTCTCAAAACCTACACTGGAAGGGAGGGAAGGGGAGGGACAAACAAAATGTAAGAATAAAAAAGCATTCTATAGTACAAACCTCCCCTGCCTAGAGGCACACCCATGCCCATGTTAGCCATTCGACCACCACGTGGATCCATCTCTCCTTTAGCAAAAGCTTTCTTCACTTCCACTTTCCTGGAGTTCAAGTTGATTCGTTTCCTCACTGAAATAAGAAAATTATAAATTAATTCGGTAAAGCATTAGTAGAACTTTGCTTAAATCTCTGTGCACCGAGAAACACATTATGGTGTGGTGATTTATAACTATTCAAAACACATTATGGTGTGGTGATTTATAACTATTCAAAACACATTATGGTGTGGTGATTTATAACTATTCAAAACACATTATGGTGTGGTGATTTATAACTATTCAAAACACATTATGGTGTGGTGATTTATAACTATTCAAAACACATTATGGTGTGGTGATTTATAACTATTCAAAACACATTATGGTGTGGTGATTTATAACTATTCAGTCTTCTTCTTAGCATTTACAGATTGTAAACTCTGGCGGAAAGTTCTGGTTGTTCGTCCACCTCTGGACTAGTCGTGTTCTAGAATCTGAGTGTTGCGTGCATATCCACTTTTACAGATCTTTGTAAGCAGATTGTTGGCTCCTTGCCTCTCAGGCAAATGCACTCCAACTTCGAAGGAAACTGTCTTCTATATAGAGTGAAGAAAACCTAGTTAACATGAAACATTTGGTTACCTGCAGGTATGTACTAATTTGAGTTCTTGGCTAGCATTTTTTTGGGGTTAAACATAGGCCAGATTTTCAACAGTGGAATTTGAATTGGTTGTTTTGTTTTATTATATTCTTTCTTTCTCTTTCCCCCCCCCCCCCCCCCCCCCCCCCCCCCTGCTTATACTACAAAGTGCCACATAGTTGTACAGTAGTTTCCTGTCTTCTGCTTACTGCACAGCTTGTGCTTGTTTATGTCATACTGCATTTCTGTAGTCTTTTTTACTCGCGACACCCATTTCTTTCTTGGTCAGCCTCTTGCTGTGTAGCCTGCTGTTTTCATGTGCATTACATTTATCTTCAACAAATCAAAATTACATCTAACAGGACTGAACCAAACCATACACTAACTTTTCAGACATTGAAACTGATAGAAAAAAGAAAAGGATGAGATGTACAACAACTGCAGTGATTATTCAATCCACTTATTCTATAGGGCAGATTTTGTAGGTGCTGTGCAACAAGCTCAAATATGTTTTTTTTTTTGTTTTTTTTGTTTTTTTGCAAACTGATGTCTCACAAAGTTCAACAATCCTGGCAAGACTCAGCAAGGCAACAAATGCCTGCAAAAGTCTGATGTGTCTACTAAAAGGCGTAAATGATGCAGCCATAATGCAAGAAGCACTACACCTGTACCTACTCAGATGAATGAAGAGGAACAATAAGAAGTCCAAAATTCTAACTGGCTCTTACATACTTTACGAGATAAAACACTGGGTTAACACAGGTGGCATATCTACTTATTTTATTAAAGGGGAAAAGTAAACTGACAGTAAGTTAGAGGTATAATTTCTAGGCAATTTTATGTTCAATACTCTGCCTCTGTAAAATGGTATGGAACTCATAAAATTGTCCAAAACCAACATAAAATTTCCTATCATCAAACCACCACTCAATCCCAAGAACGTTGGGATTGTTAAACTGAATTTATAATCCCTAAGTCACAATCACAGATGCAGACACTGAGAGTCAACACTTTTACAAGTGAATACTTAGTTTAAATGCTTGCGATAATGTGTCATTTACCAACTGTCAAAATTAAACTTTTTATAATCTAACAATTTTAAACTTTAAACAACACACTGAAAATATAGAGAGAGAAAACTACCAGGGACAACTGAGTGATTATCACATGCAGATAGGATAAAAAGACAACTTACGAACACACTTGTCGACAGAGTCATAATCTTCAAATGTAACAAAGCAGAAGCCTTTGCTTTTGCCGGTGGCTTTATCATTGATGAGCTCAATTTCTTTGATCTCTCCAAACTGTGAGAAGGCTTCCCTGACCATGTCCTCGGTTGTGTCGTCCTTCAGGCCTCCCACAAACATTTTGTTCACTGTCTGCTGGTTGTTTATGCTTGGGTCCTGTCAAACATGAATACACTCACATGAGGCTCAGTGTCAGTTTGGAAAATGCTACAGGCTAAACTAGGCATCCACTCACATCAGATTCTACATACATTTGGAAAAACATTTGGAAAATGATGACTTTATAAAGCATCCCCTCGCATCAGCTTCTACATACATTTGGAAAATGCTGCAGGCTTCATAAATCATCCCCTCACATCAGACTCTACATACATTTGGAAAATGCTGCAGGCTTTATAAAGCATCCCCTCACATCAGCTTCTACATACATTTGGAAAATGCTGCAGGCTTCATAAATCATCCCCTCACATCAGATTCTACATACATTTGGAAAATGCTGCAGGCTTCATAAAGCATCCCCTCACATCAGACTCTACATACATTCGGAAAATGCTACAGGCTTCATAAAGCATCCCCTCACATCAGATTCTACATACATTTGGAAAATGCTGCAGGCTTCATAAAGCATCCCCTCACATCAGACTCTACATACATTTGGAAAATGCTACAGGCTTTATAAAGCATCCCCTCACATCAGATTCTACATACATTTGGAAAATGCTACAGGCTTCATAAATCATCCCCTCACATCAGATTCTACATACATTTGGAAAATGCTGCAGGCTTTATAAAGCATCCCCTCACATCAGATTCTACATACATTTGGAAAATGCTGCAGGCTTCATAAAGCATCCCCTCACATCAGATTCTACATACATTTGGAAAATGCTACAGGCTTCATAAAGCATCCCCTCACATCAGACTCTACATACATTCGGAAAATGCTGCAGGCTTCATAAAGCATCCCCTTACATCAGATTCTACATACATTTGGAAAATGATGCAGGCTTTATAAAGCATCCCCTCACATCAGATTCTACATACATTTGGAAAGTGCTACAGGATACATTAGTCTTCCATTGACATCACATTACAAATAAGTCTGAAAAGCTGCAGCCTATATGCATCGGCAGGATAGTGAATGACCTACATCCTTGTTAATGACGATAAATGGAAAGCTTAGGTCTTCTGCTACCTATCATCTCCTACTGGCATTTAGGCCCTGAACCACCAGGGACCCAGTCCTTGGAGACTTGGGCTGGATTTTGCAGCTGGATGTTAACGTGATGAGGCAGTTGGTAACTCATGCCAACCCAGGCACCTCTTATGACGTGCATGATAGATCAATATTACTATTATTTGCACCCAGAAGGGCTAGGCAGCCTTTACAGTAGCAAATATACATTCTATAACCTTACGACTGCAAAAGCTCTAGACGCAGGAGATTTAAAAAAAAAAAAAACAAGGTAACACTACCATAATTATGTTATCTGGTCTAGCCCATAAAGACACTTTTTTACTTTCCTAATGATACTGAAGCCATACTAAAGTGCAAGCATGTTTAGGAGGCAGGAAACCTTTATAACATGCCTTCTGCCATTCTTCTTCTTCTTGTGGTTATTCGTCCACTTATGGACTTTTGGTCTTATTTAAGAATTTAAGTTTTGCATGCATATTCATTTTACAGATCAGGCATATATGCCAACTTCTAGTTTCTCATCTCAGGCAACACTTCAGCTCCAGAGGAGACTACTATTTAGTCATCTTCTAAGATAAGATTATTAGGAAGACCTCAGAATGCAATTACTATTTACACTAAGCTATCGACAATTTACTAAACAAAATATTTCAAATGCTGAAGCAAGCAATTTAAAAGATACTGTAAAAAATTAAATTTCAACACAGAAATCTTCCATAAAACAAAACATACATTTCAATATGAATAAATGTACTGTGCACATAAAGACATGATAACAGGCGTGCAAGTGCTGACACAGAGTGAGAGTCCCCTAACAACTCACATCTCTTGGCATCGCTCTCTTTGTTTCTACATCTCTGTCATCAATTTTGTGAGGTCTGGCTTTCTGCACGTTGTCAACACTTTCAGTGTCTTTGTACTTGATGAAACCAAAGCCTCGAGATCTGCAAGACAACAGGCATTCAACTGTTACAATGTTCTATTTGCAAAGATTTAACTTGCATTCAGCAAACATCACCATCTTCTGCATTGTTCCTACCCAATGGAGCATAAGCCATCAGCCTATCCTTTGCTATCACAGGTAGTTAACCCAATGTCCACCCCCTCACCCTGGATATGGCCTTTGTTTCGAATACAACTGTGTGCAAGAACTTCCAATCCTCAACCAAGTCCAGGTAGGGAGGGGAAAAAAACACAAAAACTACCTGAATTTAAGATGCCTTGAATTTTATTAGAAACTGACTCACCTTTTAAACAATAACATTTCCTACTACTCCCTTCTCAGCAACATCCTTTTTATTAGATTCAGCAAGGTTAAGTGAGATAAAAAAAACTTTTTTAATCTAATTACTTTTGTACTAGGAAATGTATATATTTCAGTATTAATCAGCAGAGTTTGAATCGTCTTGTGTAAATCATTCATTATATGAATCTATTCAATTGGTATATGTCCTTTGAGGTCAAAGTGCATCTGCCTGAGAGGCAAGGAACCGGCAGTCTGCATACAAATCAGTCATCTGTAAAACTGATGCACAAGCAACACTCAGTTTCTGGAGCAGGAATGCAGTCCGAAAGTGGATGAACAAAAAGAAGAATTTGTCCTGTTTTGTTAAAGTGCAAAGATGTTGAACAGTTTAAGGACATTAAAAATGTACCACTGAAATCACTACCAAAAAAAAAAAAAAAGAACAGATGTTTCACCTTTTTGTGTTTGGGTCACGCATGACAATGCAGTCAACAATTTCCCCCCACTTAGAGAAGTACTGCTTTAGGCTGCTTTCGTCAGTGTCGAAGCTGAGACCTCCGATGAACAGTTTACGGAACTGTTCAGAGTTGGGGTCGGGGTCCCCATCACCTCCACCGTAGCGGTTTTGTCCTCCCCTGAAGCCAACCTGTGGGGCACCATAGCCTCTCTGTTGATACTGAAAGTAGAAAATTGCCAATGAAAGAATAGTTTGGATAAATTATCTTATTTTCGCAATATCATGGTTCGGATTTAAAAAATAATTTTAGTAATGCCCGTGTGATTACCTGAAATATGAAAAATATACTGTTGATTTTTTTTTTAAATGTAAAATAAGCTCATTTAAAATGCATACAAAATTCAATATAAAAAAGTTACAAATAATTTATTATATTATAGTTAGGCAGGAACGTAATTCTCTATACAAAATTCAACAATTTTATATTGTCAAATAAAAGTGTGGGGCACCGTTGAATGTTATATATACATATACAAACATACATTATATACATACATACATTTATAAACATATATAAACTATGTACATATATAAACATTTATGTACATATATAAACATTTATGTACATATTTAAACATTTATGTACATATATAAACAATATACACACACACACACATAGTCGACTTGGTGGCTAAGTCAATGAAAATGCTTCGTAATGAAGGGTTTGATCCCAGTGGTATCAAGAAAGCAATGGCAAACTACTAGACGTAAATTTGCCCTGAAAAAACCACACAACAGCTAAGGGCTGGTTGGTTTTGCAACGCCCTGTAAGGGATACGCAACTAACACACACATACATATATATATATATATATATATATATATATATATATATATATATATATATATATATATATATATATATATATATATATATATATATATGCATATTTATACACACACACAAATATATACACATATATATACATTAACTCTGAGTACCAAAAGATTATGTTTTAAATACTTAATTAGATAACAGACATAATGAAAAGTGCATGAGTGTGTTACTTTTGAAGAAACAAAATATACTGTAATGTATGTTGGCATGTCTGGCCAGGTTTCTTTAGCATGCTTAAACCAAATGTGAAAAAGATAAATACACACCATTCGTTGTGTGATACACACTAATTTTAGCTGGTCACACACTGTACGTTGGTTAGGATAGAACACATATATTTTATAAACACACACATATAAATTCACAGATACATAAAATTACATGGTACATGCACACATAACCGATAATGGGTTATGCTTTTGACAAATCATGTCAAATATTACAGTCAAATTATCTATCCTTTTATTCATCTTGATATATAATTGTCGAATACTGTACAGATAAATTACTAAAACTCATTTCCTTTAAACTATATAGATTATTTGCACCTTAGTTTCTGTATGCATTTTAAATTTAAATTAAATTTTGTTTTTAAATATGACACGTTAATTTTAAAAAAAATTAGTCCAATAACAATCATTATTCATTCTATTACCTCTACTTCGACCCAGTTTTGAGTGGGTATCGGGTGCAGTCCCGGGAAGTAAAGGTTGCTGGCGTGATGATGACCACATCACCCATCTTGTGCAGATTAGTCTATGAAAATATAGGTCTAGCCCTATACGCCCAAAGACGTGGAAAAGGGTCCTTTACTTTACTATAGCAACAGTGCACACAAGGATTAATTCCCTTGAAATCTATTTCACTATTTACAAATACAATATTTTTGAAACCAGTGTCAATTTATGGCAAAGTCTCAGAATATTTGTGCACAACACTGTATTGTTATCCAAAGTATGTATGTTAAATTTTACCTCAATGGCTTATTAGGAAACAGTGTAAAAATTGAAGGTAAAGTTATGAGGATTTTGCAGTAGTAGTCAAAGAAAGGTAGGTGTTTACATGACCAAAAAAATGAATGTATTACTTGCAACCAGGCATACAAATGTGCCATATTTCTTTAGAATGTTCAGACCACAAACATATCACATGTTAACATCCAGTGAGTTCCTTGATGCAATGAGTCAGTAGCTAATGCCACATGGTGCATTGTTTGGGACATGAGTTTAAAACAAAACAGCTTATAGAAACAGGTTGAGTTAGATAATTATAGAGCACAACCAGTAATTTCTGTATAATTTGCTGTACATTATGTCCTTTTCGCTAAGCTAATGGGCTTTTTGGTCAACAGATTTTTATTATCACAAAAAAGACTATTCTGAGGAGGATTTTCTTACATTTTATCACAGACCCTTTGTAAAAACATTTCATCAAAGTTCACCAGGAAAAGACAGCTGGGAAAACACTGCCATAACCAGTAAAATTGAAATTAGTATAAGCGCCTGGCCAAGCTACCTTGTTTTTATTAAAAATAGTAAACCGTACTGCATGTATAATTTTGATGTGCACACGTCTAAGTTTGTACTGTTGAGATTATCATTATGTGAGGCCTACAGGAAGAGACGGACCACTTTGTGCTTAAAGAGCAAACTACTAAGGCAAAAAGGGAACCTGGCACACTGTGCGCACCTAGACTTATAATTTTATAGTCTAATCAACACTCAAAGAGTTATGTGGTAAACATCACGCTGGCTGCCATAACTTTCAAGGGCATTACCCAAAACACTTTTTGCTGTGTTAATTTGGGAACAATAAGATACTTCAAACAGAAAAATTACTACCACTAAGGCTGCGAATCACTCCACAATCCCTTCCTTTATCCTGGATAGCAGAGGTCTCTTAGTGCTTTAACAAATGCCTATTTTACTTTGTGGGGAGGAGGGTAATTGTAACATTTACCAGGTTTCCAGTCTTCACCAAGAGATCACAGAGAGAGATTTCAGAGCAGTATTCAAATTTGTATATAATAATTGTGAGGATCCAAAATGTCTAAATCAGAATTAAATGCTATGGGTTGCTTTCAAATGGTGACACACATGGCCAGAGGGAAGAGGCATCCAGGAAAACCTTGTTGCTGACAACATGAAGAGATGAAACTGATCCTGAACAAGAAATAGATATTTATCTTGGGTATCCGTTTGCTCCGTGCTTAATTCACAAATTTCTGTCCAATTTATTTAGTGAGCGCAACATTTTTATTTTAAAAACCTGTCTGCGAAATATCTGATTGGGCAGCACGGGTCAGCAAATTGCAGCTCGCGAGCTACCTGCCGCTCTTTGAGTGTGGCTTGGCCAGTCTGCCACAAATCAGCGTTGAATACAAAAAACATGGTTCTTGAAAAAAAAGTATTCATCCTGCTGCTGATTTTGGGCTTTTTTGACATGAGTTTGCCGACCATTGTAGTCAATGAGATGCGCTGTGAACTTCAACAAAGAAAGTTGCTATTCAGCTGTATTTTAAAGAAAGTTGCTATTCAGCTGTATTTTATGTCTTTGAAGGGGGCAGTAGGTCTATTCTTGTCTCTTCAAACTGAGGACCGAGAACTGAATTACCATTTGTAATGAAAGAACATCATCTTTCTGTTCCTAAGACACTCACATGTCAATCTAATCTACTGCTGTTTTATAAAAGATACTAGCATTTTTTTTTTAACAGCTTTCAACCATCTGCAATTCTTTTCTTCTTCTTCACATTCACCGGCTGTAAACTCAGGCGGAAGTTCATCCACCTCTGGACTTGAGACTTGTTCCAGAACCTGAGTGTTGTAAGCACATCCATTTTACAGATCTGACTTTATTTATATGCAGACTGTTAGTTCCTGGCCTCACAGGCAGATGCACTCCAACTTCAAAGGAAACCCCCAGTTAGTGGACTCTAAAACAGGATTGTTGGGGAGCCAATTGGTCTCTTGTTTTCCCAACAATAGGGTCACAGAACCGACACAGGCATTTTCTTATAGCATTTTATTTTATAACAACTTGGAAAATCTTAAATGTAATGCAACAGTAATGCACATATGTGAAAGTGTGTTCCCCTAGGTAAGCAGCTTGTGCAGGGTATGAACTAACCAATACTTTGTAGTAATCTGTAAATGTTCACACACAAGGTCTAACTCTAAGTCTGACATGTGATGGTAATTCACACAAATACCCATTCTCAACTTTCATAAACTTACTACAATTACAGAAGAAAGGTAATGCCAAGCAAAAATAATCAGGGAAGATTTAAGTGCAGAAATTATTGACAGCACAAACTGCTGTTGGAGGATGTGAGGTGTCAGATTAGATTTTCACATATTCTAGACTAGGTACGAAATAAGTAGTTCCCTGCTTCACTTCTGTGTAATGACTAGACAACTAGTTTCCTAGTAACCTAATTCTGCAAACACTATGCTACTGTAGTGTATATAAGAACTTATTTCTCCAGGGAGATACTTCTTTGATTTTATGGCATTGAAACAGTCTCTAAATGTGATAATGTTTTCAAGAAAAATGTTGAAAATACCATGGATTTTGTTTTCTTTTTTAAACTGTAGACACTGGCAGACAACAGGTTAATAACCAATGAAAGCCAAAAAAAGGAAAAACCATATGGGGCATACGTATTAACATGAAATGGCAGACAGAGATTATATGATTATGCAGTAAAAGAGATCAGGTTATGTGGAAAGATTCAATACATCAAAAATTAGTACAAGGTGTATCACATGTTTCCATACATAGGAAAAAAACATTTTGTTATGAAAACCACTTTTATTTATATTTATTGATATAATATGCTCCACATAACTGTTTTTAAAAACACATTTCAATGTTTGTCCTACATGCTGCAGAACAGGTATAAGTACAGCTGGAATTAGGTTTATAATCATATTAGTGGAGTTATGTTTATAATCATATTAGTGGAGTTATGTTTACAATCATATTAGTGGAGTTATGTTTACAATCATATTAGTGGAGTTATGTTTACAATCATATTAGTAGAGTTATGTTTATAATCATATTAGTGGAGTTATGTTTACAATCATATTAGTGGAGTTATGTTTACAATCATATTAGTGGAGTTATGTTTACAATCATATTAGTAGAGTTATGTTTACAATCATATTAGTAGAGTTATGTTTACATTCAAATAGTGGAGTTATGTTTACATTCATATAGTGCAGTTATGTTTACATTCATATAGTGGAGTTATGTTTACAATCATATTAGTGGAGTTATATTTACATTCATATAGTGGAGTTATGTTTACAATCATATA